CCCAGAGCAGAGATTGTCAAAAGTAAATGAAAGTCAAATATTGGCAGCCGGTCCATGAAGAATCAAAAGCCCTTCATGTTAAAAGCAATTCATGTGATTAAAATCTTTAAAATCCAAAGCTCAAAGCCGGTCCATGAACATATGATTTTCGGCCCATTCATTTGATTAAATCAAAAGCTCGCAAAAGATGCAGGCAGGTCCATGTTTTTTCGTTGTTGAAGAGCTGCAGCAATTAATTTAAAAACAAGTCGGTCTTGTTCATTTTTGGCCTTGCAAATCCAACTAAAACCGGCCCATGAGTTTTGATTTAAAAATCAAAGTTTGCAGCCATTCATTCCCTATTTGATTTTCAAAAATAGAAATAACATTCGCGGCCCAATTCAAATCTTTAACATCGCAAGTCAAACCGGCACTTTCTCCAAGTCCGGTCCACCTCTGCACTTTCTCCAAGTCATGAAAATCAAATCGTGCACTTTCTCCAAGTCCGGTAGCTTCATTGTCTGGTCTCCTATGCAGCAAAGGTAAAGCAATCTCCTGGATTCATCAAAAGAAAATCAAAATAGGCCCACTTGCATTTGAGTCCTTGTGAAATTCAAACTGCAGCAGGTCCACATTTCCTTGGTGTAATCTTTTTGTTTGGCTTTAAAAAAGTCGAAAATTGGCATTAGGCTTCTTGAATCATTTCTTCATTTAATCCATGGGTTTTTGTTGAGAGATGGGAAGTTGAGATTTATTCTTTATTAATCTGCAATTAAAGATAAAATAATTATTAGTGGTATATTTATTCATATAAAATAGATAATGAGGATATAAAATTATAATAAAAATGTGATTATCACAAACCTTCAAATAATTCTCCATCTTCATCTTCATCTTCATCATCCAACAAAGAGAAGAAGAGAAAAATTTAAAGTGGTGAAAAAATTATTATTATTAATTGCAACAAAAAGTTACAATTTTGGAAGGTCTTCTCAATTAAGAGTAGCTCTCCTCTCCAAAAGGAGTTACAAAATTTTTCACACCTCTAACCCCTCAGTCTCTACCCCTATTTATAGTAAACATCAGTGAATGAGAGCCATTGGATCAAACTTGAGCCCCAAGACAAACACAATCAGCCATTGACGCACGCTACAGTAATCTGGCATCGATGCAGGCATCGATGCCCACATCGATGCCGACATCGATACTCATTATTTCCAAATTCTGATTTCACGGATAGCTTCGTCTCATCGAGATAGGCGATTTTCATATATTATATGTTAAATTCCGCCTTCCGAATTAGGAGATATCGTCGTTTCTTTGTGGCCAACCATTTTGAATATGATTTCTTTTCATATTGCATTTTTGATTTTCTCCGGCTTCTACAGGCTACACGACTTCATTCTGGGCTTTTGGATAATTTGGAAATTGATTTTCCAATGTGCTTCTTTTTCATTTAATCGATGGGTTTTTGTTGAGAGATGAGAGTTTGAGATTTATTCTTCATTAACCTGTAATTAAAAGATAAAAACAATTATTAGTGGTATATTTATTCATATAAATTAGATAATGAGGGTATAAAATTGTAATAAAATATGATTATCAACCATGATGGTCTCCTCCAAGTTCTGAGCATTGAGCGCATCCTGTACGTCGCTCATCCACAAACCAAAGTTGATTTTACCGTCATACTTCACCACACTATTTTTGGTATTCTAAAAACCAACTTGAACTGTATTCGCCATCGACTTGCTGCTTTCACCTTCTTCTCCCATTGCAACCTAACTTCAAGTTGTAGAGAAAGAAACAAACTTTGATAGTAATAATTAAGAATTATCCAACTGAACCCTAGATCGGATTCCAAATAGATCTCATGTTCATGCGAGGAAAACGAAATCTCCAACGGTAACTCCTAATGTTATCTCCACCGAAGCCTAGGACTCCAAGAATCATGCTTCACACAAGAATCTTCCTTCATCTAATTTCAAAACCCTATATATAAAATCTGTGCTCTGATACCACTTGTTGCGCGCAGCGAAAAATTCGACAGCACCTCGGCAGCACAACAAGAGAGTTAGGTCGCAATAGTAATTCCTGTTTTACTAAGGAAACAAGAACCAAAAGCAAAATATCTCAACAAAGTGGGATATCAGCTCTTCCTCTCATCAGTTCTAGGACTGACTTATCGAGAACCTAAATAAGCTATTACAAATCACAAAAATAGTGAGACAACCAATTTTACGTGGTTCGATAAATTGCCTACGTTCACGGGGCAAGGAAGGAGGAGATCTACTATTAGAGAGAATACAAATAGGGTTTACACGCACAAAGTCTCACAAATAAAACCATCAAACAAGATCTCAATTTCTCTCTCAAATTCTCTCTCAAAACAGCACTTTGCTCTTTTCCTTTCTGCAGTCGCACACCCACAGCCGAAAAAAAACAATTCCCCTGCACACAAACCCTTTGCACAAAGCCCTAGAAAGTGATTGAAGAGATATATATAGCTGCGTTAACTCGGTTCGTGGGTCTATCTCTTCGTAAACATGCTGCTCGTGGCCCCCACCCGCATTCACACGGGTGCTGCTCCTCTTCATGAACATGGTGGCCCCCACGTTCACAGATTATATCAATTTACTTAGTAAACATATAATACAAATCAAGAGTCTTTTTTAACAGCACGGTCTGAAAATGAGTGGGAATTATACTGGAACATCCCAACCATTTAGATTACTCATATTGGTTCTTAAATTAAGAGTTTTTTTAATCTGAGAAAACTCATCATAGAGAAACCTTATATTTATCCATTTTATCGAATTCGAATACAAATATTTTTTAAATATTCATGAATATTTATTGACTATTATGATATATATTTTTTATTAATAAGTTATAGTTGTTTAATATTTAACTATATAATTAAAAAATAATTAATTATAAATAAATTGGATTAAAAACTGAGAGCTTTGACTCAGTAAGCTCATCAGCTACGACCATTTAGGTATCTTTAAGATTATCAAAGTTAAACAAATAACCTAAATTATAAAATATAACCACCTCAAAATATAACATTATGTGATAATATAAATTATAAAGAATTAAATTCTAAATAAATACTTAATAATTAAACTAATAAAATATACATATGACTAAATTCTATTTATTTATGAACCGCATATAAAAGACTATTTATTTACAGTTAAGCAAATTATTGAATCAATTATAACCAAATATTTAGACAAACAATAAACAGGAAATTTATTAATTTTTTGGGTTCGATTCCACTCCTACTCACAATTTCTCTGACAGAAGAAATTTGTGCTCTTACCGAAGGAAGACTATACTAATTAGATAATCATGAAATTGGTGATTCTATTCACTTGCTAAAGAGAAAGTTACATGTACATACGACGTTAAACGCATCAACACCAAATGTGAATAAATCACATCACTTTCCTCTCACCAACAAGGCCCAAAACTTCCTCCCACAGTCCAACACTAGTTGCCAAGCCCACAACATCTGGGCTACAAGCCGCAACATTCCAATACCCAGCCCTGATCTCGTCATTCAATTGTTCCTTTTCCCACCCACAGTACCCATCAAAAAACCTAAACTCATCCACGCTTACGACATTTCTCTTAACCATCTCAGAAGCACATCCTATACTTTCTTTAGTCCCATAATACAATCCAGCCATTACTTCCTCAAACACCCCACTATTTTCGACCCCGTCATTCGGGCTGCCTTTTCGGGGGCCCAATAAGAATATTCCCTCCTCAAGCGGCCCACCGAAGAATAATGGGCTGTTCGAAAATGTGCCCGCGATGTCCAAGTCCGTGGATCGAGTCTCTTTGATGGACATAAGAGAGGGCCGGTTGAGAATTATACCAACTGGGCCTAATGGGCCCGTGGAGAGGAGGAGGACTACGGTCCTTTCGAAAATGTGCACTCCGTCGAGCTTCTCTGTGGCAATAAGAAGGCATCCCTTTTCTGGCTCATAGAGAGGGTGAGCCCATTTATCGCCAAGTATCGAAGGTGTCGGAATTTGATCGACACTTTGAGGTGCTAGGGCTGAAGCTTGTTCACCCGCAACGAGCCTAGCTCGGAATGATCGCCAGTCCGACTCGATCAGTGGTTCGTAGTCATCGCTCGGTGATTCTGATCTCAAACTGCAAGCTGACAATAAAGGGACAGATATAATAATTTAATTTGCAGAGAAAATACCCTATAGTTCTGTCTAATCGACTAGATAGTTGGTGTACCAAGAACGCTGCGCTCTTGAGTTAAGTATAAATCATAGAAGTTCAGGAATTAGTACACACTATTTCCAATGGCTATTCGTTTCAATTTGATACGACCATTAATCCAAGTTCAAAAAACCATATGCTGTTGATCATGTATGTACCACATCCAAGATCTCTACAATCAACCGACTAAAGAATGAAGAAAATTGGACGAATCGAATTCCTATAATTTATAGAAATAGGAAGAGGCTTGATTGCTTACAAGCCATCACAGAAGAAGTTGATGGTGGTGGCGGTGGTGATCCGAACCCGTGCAGGCGCTGCCCGAACCTCTTCCTGCAAAATATCGACGGATGCGTCCTGATGGATGGAACAAGATTTAAGGTCTTGTTGAAAGAAGTTTTAGGGGTGAAGAAACAAGATGCCTCCATTGATCTCAAGCCTGTTCCTCTGTTGTTGATGACGATGATGACGACGCCGATGATGAAGAGAGGTTATCGAGTTGGGTGGATATATATAGTGGCAGGCTCTCGAAACCCAGGCCACAAAAACTTGCAACCCAACCCGAACTTGGATTGGATATGCCTCGCCTTTTCACTTTCCGACATGGACCTGTACGAGCCTGACACGTGGGAAAAAGCCCCAGAAATTTTCTGTGGCCAATGCGATTTTTTTTGGGGGGGTCGTTGGGCGCTTTGAACTTTTCTGATGAGTTTGTTGTTGGAACACTTCTCAAAAGGATGGTGCCACGAGGGTTCTAGAAAAAAAAATAAAATAAAAACACGGATAATATGATTGACTATAATAAGTCGAAGATTTTGAAGTTATCTGAAAAAAGCGAGGCATTCTGTGATCATATTTAGCATTAGTGTTAAATATATATGCACCTGTTGGATTTTCTCAAGATGAATACTATTTATCTTTTTCCAAATGTAAAAATGATCAAGCGGTGCTCGGTGTGAGGTTAAAGAGAAGGGTTCGACGATAATGATATCAGGGTTCCAAATTTCCAATCCTGCAAATGTAACCAAACATTCTATTGTTAACTAACTAATGAATTATGACTCAACCTTGAGGGGACGAAGTACCCAAGAAAGAACTTAGAAATAATAGCTATTCCCTAAAAACTTTAGAAAAGATAAAGATAATTTACCTTTATTTCTACATAATTTATTACTGACAAGCTTCCAATCTTCCATAGATGACAACAAAGCATCTGGAGCCAACCAGGGAAGAAAAATTTTACATCCTACTCAGACATCCCTGGATAAGCTTTGTTTATATCTACAGCTGAACTACTGAGAATTGTAAAAGACTAGCTTATTTATCCAACTCAACAACCTGAGGCAATTAATGGTTTGCACAACCCAAAACTCTAACAGATGTAATTATAACCATCTTTTTAGCAAAATTAGTTTTAAGTCTTGATGACGCATAAGATCTTCTCCCTACTCCACTTCATCCACCTTGTTCCACAGCCAAGCACAAAAGCATGACGTACAGTAATAAAAAATAATTTTTCTTTTCAAAATTAACAAACACGTGCCTGTGAACCTACCAAACTAACTAACTACTGGTTTACACATCATTCATATATGTATACATGTGCTTGATACAAAATTTTCAAAACAAAGCTTCAAAAAGAAGAAAATTGATAGCCATCACTGCTGCCGTCGCTGCTACAGCTGCTGAAATCAGAATTAGGGGATACGCTGAGCAGCAGAGCCAACACGTCCCTCATATCAGGCCTCAGCTGCGGTGCCTCCGCGGTGCACCACATAGCTATCTTCATTACCCCCCACATCTGCACCGTCCTTACGGTACTTTCCTTCGTCTTCGTTTCTCCAATCACTCCCCCGACGCCCACCCTCCTCACCCACTCCATCAAACACTCCTCTCCTTCGTCAACGGTCGTCTCGCCGGTCGCCAGCTCATCAGCAGCACCGAGCTGTGACATCGCCTTCGTCGGCGCCTTGCAAGTGTACCCATACTCTGGCGCCACGTAGCCGAGCCGTTCCGGCTACATCTGCTTACGTTGGCTTCTCCCCGTCTTACTATCTTGACAGTCCAAAATCCGTCACCCTGGCTCTTCCTCTCCGATCTGCATTACAGTTGTAGTTTACTCCTGTGAGCATTTCGCTGGTTTGCATTTGGCGCGGATGTAGACCCGGCACTCCGACGGCGGCCTGAGTCGTCGCTCCCAGCCGAAGCCGAATCCAGATCCGTAATCGCTTCATCTAGACTCCCGCCCTCGACATGAATCGTACACCACAGCTTTCTCCGCACCGAAGAGACACCATC